GTAATTCCAATTGTGTACCAGGCGTTCTACATAGTAATTCCGACGATCAGCATTTTTGGAAATGCATTCATCGTTTACGTCACCATTCGCTCAAAGTAAGTGCAGTGCAGAGATTCATCTAAAATATCTTTCGTGTAACTTTTCTTATTTTTCTCCTGCTTTCTGACTCGTTTTGTTCCTCTTTTCCATAAATTTCATTGCCGTGTTTCGCCCTCTGTGTTTCGTTGAACTTTCGAAATATTCAAGATCCCTTCGGAGCATCTGCAATATATTCATTGCGTTGATATCAGTTGGTGACGTACTGCACAGTTTGGGCCACGGCGTCGCTATCATTTCTTATAACATGTAGGTTTGTCCGTTTTTGATAGCTGATAGCACTGCAACCGCATTGATTTAAATGCAAACATTACCCTGTGTAGCACAACTCGGAGGTATATTCTGTTGAGGAGCCAGTAGCGCAGTGATAGTGACTTTGCTACGCGAAACACCAATAAACCCAAGCTCTGCTTTGAAACAGCACCGTGCCCAACAAGCTTATCATCCAATCGTGGATCGACTCGACCAACACTCAATAACATTCTTAACTAAGGCGGAAAAACCCTCAAACAGCAGCCAAACGCACTGGCAAAAGCACTTCGAAAACCATTGATCGTGAATGAGACGGGACGATTGGAATTCAAGTTAAGCGATCCACGTGGCCTCTCTCTCATACCTACGGTGTCTGGTAAATGTTATGCCAGGTCATGCAATAACGGCAGTAAAAATAATAACAATCCATAGTTGTAATAAGAATAACAGTGGCTGTAGTAAAAATAAAGTTAAAAAATCATGGTGAGAAAGCTGAGTCTTACTATAACGTCCACGAGAACAAAGGCATTAGTGTAACGCTGCTGAAATTAACTCTTTCGCATTAGAACAGATTGCAAAACTTTAGCTCTAATGATAATTCTTAGTAAGGTAGTGAAAAACATGGTAGGAATTGTAACATTAGAACATGTTTCAAACATCATTGCGTTGTTTATGGAGCTTTCAGTAGCAAGGACCATCGAGTACGTCAGGATATCTGCGTCTACATGCAAGCAATTCCATTGCTTGGGTGTTTCTTCTCGTCTTTGATGCTTCTCTACCTAGCATTGGATCGATTACTATCATTGCACAAAATCTAGTGAGCTCCTTCTTAACACGATAATCTCAAAAATTGAGGGCTTGCATAAAACTATCTTACGATGCTAAGGCAATCAGAGAATGTTTTAGCCTCATCATAGACAATCTGTACAAGAAGCCTTACATGACAATACTGATTCTCTCAGCGTTCTTGTATGCACTCGCCATCGTTACCTGGGTTTTTGCTAATAGAACGTCGACAGAGTGCGTTTTTCCTTGTTTAGTAATGATTAAACTAGTTTTCGTTGCAGATCGGGCACATGCTGGCTGCAGACTGGCCTGGGAGGATAGAGGCACTAATCTTATACATCCGTACGCAACTGGAAGTCATGCGCAAGCTACGTGTGCTTCCATGCTATGCACGATGAAGTCCAATGCATCGCACATCTCTCAGGAATTGATGAATGATTAATTTTTTCACTGTTTTGCTGATGAGAGTACAAACGGTTCGTATCGCACTATTAATTCACAATAACTGAGGTCTTCGCATCATCGTCTTCTTCAGTTGCTGGAAAGACCAAATTGACACGCCATCCACTGAGCAAAACACTTTCATAACCTCAGCAGAAAAAACTCTTTACTCAAATTGCGCTCCCGTTGTAAACAGCTTCCTTCAAACAATTACCGTTTTGCTTTTTATAAATATTGCAGTTGTTTATCGTGAACGACCGTAAAGAGTGGATATATGTGGAGAAGGTGCTTTTCATAGGTTAGACGAGCCGTCTGAGGTACGGCGAAAGTTAGGCGTCATAGAAAGACATCCCTCTCTGCAGCTCATTTTTGAACTTTTGCTATTTGTCCTGAACGTTCCATTTGTTTTCCGCTTTAATGTTTTAGATTTTTGTGATAGAATAGTAACCTTAGCTTCAAAATCTTTTCGATTGCGTCTACTTGTTACATTTTTTATTCGATTCCGAGAGTACCTAGTGCAGTGTTTTGTTTCACTTTAGGTTTTCCGATAGGGTACTCCTTTTAACAGATGCAAAGTTGTCGTACCCATTTTTGAAACTTACTGGTTTCTACACGTCTCACAAGAGGTCATATAAACCTAATCTGAAGTCATGGAATAACTATCTCTCCCGTTAGGCAAACGCTTCAATTCTACATTGTGGGCGAGGGTTCGTATAAACTGTTGCCGAGCTAGCTGGCTTTTGAAGTATCTGGTGGTGTTTCAATCATTACTACCGACCACTCTAATCCGGTTTTTTTTATGCAACGTTTCATGGCTATGATTATTTACTTTGAGTCGAGGGAAGGGTAAGGGCGCAAAAAGGGGATTACGTTCGATTAAAATGCGATCAAAATTTACCTTTTAAACTTTTATTCCAACAATATGAAGGAGTTGGACTAAGCAGATTACATGTCCATCTGGCCGTTCCAGACTCTGAAGAAGGCAAAACCTTTGGTTCGTAGGCGAAATGTAAATAAATAGTGTGATAACAAATCCGCGTCAGCTCATCAAACAAACAGTGACCTGGTGAACACAGCAGGAGTTGGTGGAATATCCATCCTGAAACTTACCACATGACGTATCACCTTTGCTTCACTCTTTGTGGATTCGTACTCAAAGAAAGACTTTTCATCAACCTTTCTAGGATGGCATTCTACAAATTACAGGCTAATTCAGCACACTGGGGTGCTCTCTGCTATATTTTTTCTAAGGATTTTTCTTGTGTGAGATATCGCGAGCGGAGTGGTCGCGTAAGCATGTGAAGCCTTCCAAAAAGAAGAATGGGATATCCAGCAAGCATCTGATCTACATCTCAGCTGGATTTGGCAATCGGAATTCCTATCTCTGCTTACTTACAGAACAGAAGACCCAAACACAAAGAAGTGTACGCAGTTTCGAATAGAAATAAAATTTGTATTTCAGGACAATCATTTGTTTTATCACATCACCAATCACCGGCTTGGTTTATGATGTGATGATTAATTCCATTGTGGTCTTCAATATCCTGATTATTATTTGTTACATTTTGTTTATTTGTTTTCTAAACAAAATTGGAACAAGTAAGTTGTCAGAAATTCTACAGAAATCTGAAAACTCATTCGACGACGCCTTTCCAGGTAGCACAAATATGAAGCAGATTTATCGCTCGCTGATCGTCGTCAGCCTGACAACGGTGTTTGGTTGGTTCAGCACGATTATCATTGTATTTGTCGCCAACCTTCTGCAAATTGAAATTGAGCTACTGTACGTTCAACTGCTGGCTGGACTTTTCGTGAATTTTGCATGTGCTGCGAATTTCTTCGTCTATTATGTGATGAGGTTAGTGGGAGCATTCCAAGGGCAGAAAACGAGAAAACTCCTATAAGGCTGAAATCGCAACCTTAGGTTGATCGGCTCTAAGACACAAGAACTGATTTTGATTAAGGAACGAGCTATTACAGATGGAGTAATCTAGAAAAACGGCTGTAATGTTTCTATTCCATCGAAAAATATTACGCCCACTCGTTATTCCATAGAGCGATTAACTCTAGGAATAATCCTTATTACTCATTTCAGTGAAGCAATCCAAAGTTCCAATTTCGGCTGACGAGTAAATACAATGGATCTTAACATTCGAGACGATATTTAAAGTAGTTGAGCCGGATAATTTTGCACATGAGCAAAAACCGAGGCAAAAGTGTAGTAGTCGCTAGCTCGCAGCTTTTTTAGTTTTGAAACCGACCGTCATTTGAGCTCTATAGTGAGGTAATCAGCATGTGTTTATACTGTTGAGCTTCCACGAGGTTGACAAAGATGTTTATTCGGCTAACGTCTCTGCTATTTCGTCTTTATCAGAGCCGGATATCCAGGAAGAGATGAGGTTGTATCAAATAAAAATAAAGACGATAGCACTAGTTGTCTTACTAGTAATTACTGTCTTACTAGTAATTACTAATATCTAACATTAGTGATGACAATAACTGTTTATACAAGCCCTCTTTGCGGAAAGTATGTTCCGCTCTAATCCCATCGCAACAATCCGTTTCAGCAAAGAATACCGTCGACAATTCGTTGAGGTCCTCCTCATTATTCATGCCAAGAGACTTCTTGGGATCAATAGCAGCAGGGCAGTTACTGTCAACCCGGTAACCAATCGGCATCCAGCAGTGCCGTCATTAGGGACACGAGAGCTTCAAGTGCGAAATGTTTAAATGGTGAATGAATCTTGAGTTTTTTTTTTTGAAGTAACTGTGTAATGTTGAATGCTGTAGTAATAGCCGATTTTAATCGTATTTGTGAAAAATTGTAGAAGAAATTCCGGCTATAAGAAATGTTTTTACCATAAATTATAAAAAATGTAGTCGTTTTCGCGCGATGCTCCCGGTGGAAATCTCGCAGAAAGCGGCTCTGAGGAAGACCAATCCCTCCGAAACGTCATCCTCTTGAGAGCTTTGTGAATGAAAGTGTAGTGAAGACCGCGTGTGTGCTGAAAACAAAGAATCATTGTGGTCATAAATCACAGGCTATTCGTTTAAAGAGCAATTGTTTAACAGCTTGCTAAGTTAAGTTCCCAGCCTCACTAAAGTGTATTAGTATTCATTCCACGGCATACGAGGCTGGCATTAAACATTTATTAGCACGCAATAGCTGACGCTTCGGCGATTACGCGGTCTTCAGAGCTTGGAAAGGTAAAATTGACATGTAGTAATCTCAGCCAAACACTTTCACAACCTCAGCAGAGAAAACGTGACAGATCAGTTTTCATTCGCACAATAAGCAGTTGTTCCTAAATATTCATTGTTTTGTTTTTTGTAAATATTTAAGTTATTTGGTGAAGATCAGCAGCACAGAGCATTACTTAGGCGATGAATGTGCCCTCCTCATGTCGAAGGATCAGGAATGGCGCAAGGGCACGCGTTATCACAGGATACTCCTCCATGTGGTTTATTTCCAGATTTCTGAAATTTTTCAAAAACGGTTCAAGAGCTTTTCGTGTTGATGTTATGGTTTCTCTTCAAGTATAGTGGCTTTTACTTCAAAATCATTAGGATTTACTCATATTCACACGCCCATAGGATATGCACAAAGATACTTACCATCTCTGCAAGGGTACGTTAACGTAAGCAAATATCTTGACAACCAATTCAATACAGCAAGGAGATTCATCCACCTGAATCAACAAATGAGTAACTGCAAGACTGCTTATGATTCGCGCTAAATCTCGTATCCTCCGCCTATGATTCCTTATAAAAAAATCAGCACTACCCAAAATAAATTCTTTCTATTTCTGCTATCGCATTAATCTTCACAATGAATCTTGTGAATGCAATTGAACCTGTGCAGTTCCCATCTTTTCGCTACTTATTGGCACTGAATTATTGACTTACATCTCAAAAGAAGTGATCATGCGATGGTGCGAGAAACCGGGCTCTGCGTTGGTAGCCGGTATCAGCGCAGTACTTCAGATGCTTCAGAGTATCCCAAATTCGCCGAAACACTATACATTTCAGGATTTTACTTAGTGAATACTAATTAAATTCAAGTGAAGATCGTGTTTTTCAAGGAGTTTGCTTGTTTTCAATAACATAGCAAGCATGTGTTGGTGGGATACGTGCTCAATTACCAACTATACGGAAACGGCTGGAACATCCATTGCTCCTAGCACGGAGATGGAAATTGTGCACGGATATTCGGAATTCAGAAAATCGCTATTCATCCAAATTGATTCTAGTGTGGAGGCAGCTTTTTTCGGTCCCGAGAATTGTGTGACTGTTGCTGAATCCGCCATGTAACGATTCGGTACCGCATACGCCTATTGGCTGAACAATAATTTTAAATAGTTCCCAAGATCAACTTTCTCTTAACCTCGGCATTGGAATATGAATGTGTCGTTTTCTTGTTCAGCAATCGCGAGGTTTTTAAATAGCATACATTTACTTCCATAAAAACACAATACAATACAACGCTAGCTGACGTTTCGGCATAATCAGCTGTTCTAAACTTCCTCATTGGAAGTCACCAAAAACCGGTGGGTTTTTCGAGAAGTTGTTGATCGTGTAATTACCAAAGAGTCTTTCGTCTTTGTGTAAGTGTTATTGAAGCGTTTGGCCTAGTAGATTGTATATCAGTATACCCTTCCAGACTCTGAAGAAGGCGATACTGCCGAAACGTCAGCTAGCGTTGTATTGTATTGTGTTTTTATGGAAGTAAATGTATGCTGTTTAAAAACCTCGCGATTGCTGAACAAGAAAACGACACATTCAATAATTTTAAATTGAAGCAGAGCTGTTATCCGGAAGAAAACAAAAGCTTACACATTAGAAACTGATTAAATTAGCGATGGTTCTGCCAGAAAATTCACGGAAGGACTTCAAGGACCTCCAGCGCCTGCAAAAAAGGTTTTGGACTTCCTCGATTCAGCTTAGCAAATAAAATCGTAATTTCGCATTGTAATTTGGTGGTAAGAAAATTGCTTCGAAGCTTTGGTCCTCTACAAGTCGAAAATACTAAGTAATACTTATCACAGTGATGGACAGAATTAAGGTGACCCCTATGATGCTGAGATATTTGCAAAACACCGGACCGCAGGTGTCTGTGGTGGGGAACGAACGCGCCAATGCCCTTTCCGGAGAGGAACGCGTTCACCACCCACACCATGTTTGTCTTTCGCTTGGCCTCTCTCTCAGCTAGTTCTATCAATCACTTGTCATCAGCAATCACCCGTCAACGGGATTGATCTGAGGATCCCACATCGGCATTGAGCCCAGTAAAGCTGAGGCTATAGTTATAATCACAATCTTATTTCGCAACATACCCTGCTATCAAAAAGAATAGGCAATGAATGAAAAGGTTAAGATTAAGGCAATTCGTTGCGCTTTATGAAATGGAAACAATTTCAAATAATGCTCGGCTGTTCTTCAGCACAAGAATGCTATTACCATACTTCATTTTCTCTACATTTTACACATATACTTATTTTTGCACTTTCTATCTCTTTTCTAGGACACTTCTCATTTTTTGATTTCCATCTCTACATTAAGAGCTTCTCATGAGAGCTTATTATTGGCGCAGTGGTCGTAGCGGTTGCAACGCGCACGTGGAATCAATCGCTGCGCCCATGGTACACTAAGCCTTCCATCACTCCGGGGTCGATAAATTGGTACCAGACTTCTCTGAGGGGATAGCAGCACTGTGGTAGGCCACCGCGAGTCAAAGGCCAGACATGCATTCAATCACTTCCAAACGATGCTAAAAGAAATCGAATGCATGGTTCATCCCTCAGGGACTGATCAACGCCGAGAGATCTATCCTATATTTTTATTTGTAGTAAACATGAGCATATATTCTTTTTCGTGCGTGTATTTATCACAGTAGTGCACTTCACAAAGCTTTTCTCTCTGGAGTGATCGACGTAATAGTGGACTATTATACAATGAAACCAAAGATCGTCCTCTTCATGATGAAGTCCGAAAAAGCAATTTAACGCGCCAATTTGTTACGTTCTCAAAACTACCGGTAACCGTTCTTCGAAAACGCCGCGTGGTTTGAAATAAGCAACGAATTGTATCAGTTCGATAGAAACATGGTAAGCAATTAGTCAATGCAGAGCTGGAACTGAAGATCGATTTTCACATAGTACCATGGTACACTAATACAGTAGCACAATTAGAAATGACTTGCTCAACAGCCTGCGAAGCTTAGTGTATTGTCGGTCGCGTAGGGCTTATAAGCGAGAGACTACAGAAGCGCAAATTTTGCAATAAACATTTCAGCGGTGTCATCCCCTTCAGAGAGAAGAAAAATTTCGCAAGCTTGGTAATATTAGGTGTTATATCAAGGATGATAGGTGTTTGTACCACAGTGGTTTAAGGTGCCCTGCAATGCACACGTAGTCCTTGGTTCAATCTTCCGCTCTTGGCTCGCCTAGCCTTGCATTTTTCCCGTGTTGGCGAATTGGTGTCACGTTTATTTAAAAGGTGGGTGGGACTCGTGACATCACGACTTTGACGAAGGCGGAATCGCCGAAACGTCAGCTATCGACCAACAACACCAAAAACAACGACAACGCCCACGAAGACCTATATCAACCTCGCAACAGCTAAAAAAGATCAGTTTAAAAGTTCATATAAATAAACAGATCGGATATCCATACCATAACCGCTGACTGATGACCAATGAATTCGACTGCGTGGCGCATGCCTCAAGGACTGATCAACGGCCAGAGGTTCATGCTTTATAAACGATGTTCCTAATTGGCAGATTTTCGTATATAATTATAATGTAGCCAATAAAGGATTAAGGGGTAAACCGCCCAACGTTGATCCATTCCTTAAAAATGCAAGATTGTTCGACTCCATTAAACATCGCGGAAGTCATTGAATGCACACTTGTCCTATACAATGACTTGCTTTGGCCGATCAATGTAGCAGTACAGTGCTGTTTCCCTCATGGTACATTTTTAGTAACAATTACCCGACTCCAGATGGATGGTTTGCTCAAAGAACTAGATCAAATAAACTACCACGTGTGTACCGAACATCACTAACCGCTGCGTTAGACGTACCCATACGTTTCAATACATGAAAGGAATCGGAATTAAATACAACTCCTTCACAAAACAGTTAAAACTTTCGGTGGATATTCGGCCTCTGATATACAGGAGAATAAGCATCGAATAGTCATGAAATGAGGTGATTCGACGACAGACCGGCGAGAAGAACAATGGATCTGTGCTTAAAACCATTGAACTGTCTACGGCGTGCTCGTCGCTGTATTGGAAATCAACCAGTTGACGTCTAGTTCATGAGATGGTACACGACACTGTAGCTGCGCTAGTAGCTGGGATTCTTATGGTTTACAAACGATGGAATTCTCGATGGCATGTATGATAAGAAAAATCATCAGCTCGAAAATGGGCTCACTACATCATTAGCTCCTTTTAAACTGCAATTATATATCACTGAGGTTCCGAAAATGAAGGCGAAAACACAATGTATCAGCTCGAAATAGGTTTCCACACTAACTTTTCTGTCTGAAATAGAAGGGACGAGGAAACATGTATGCACCTGCAAAGGTTCTCCATTTTGTGGTCAATATTTAAGCCTACAACTTAAGAACTGAAGAGTTGTGAACTCTTGGAGATATTGATTGACCAACACTTCAACTGCACTTTGCCTCGCCTTAGTGAAGGCAATTTCAGTCGCAACGCTGTTTGTTCTGAAGCGTGGTTGACGGCTTTAGGTTTGCAAGTTTTCAATACTAATATCCATCTCTTCCGTTTTTTTAAACATCTAGTTGGTCAGGAAAAAGTTGGTAGTACGATTTAGTGATTGGCTGTTATTGAAACAGCAGAAAGACCCATTGAGAAATCAAAAACTGCTTTATTAAAGCGATCTTAAGCCGTGATCACCGAAAGACGGCACCCTTTTGTATTGGAAGAATGTTTACCATTATGTTACTACTAAATAAAGCACTGACTAATTCTTATCAGGCTACAACATAAAAACAACAAACTAGTTTTCGACATGGGCGAGCTTAAGCGAGTGGGAATAAGCCCAAGCTATTTATTACAGTTTAGCTAAGAACATTCATCGTACGTCTCGTACTGAATGATGAGAAGTTCGTCTTCCTCTACTACGCCTTATAAAGGCTACTGAATCCACCAGTGTACAAAGTCATTGTTTTCATTCCACCGCGCAAGCCTAGAAGGAGTTTTTCCTGCGTTACAGGAACAAAAATTTTGATTTATCCATGCAGGCGGTGAAATCAAGGCCCATATTTGCATTTTAGAGTGTCATTAACCTTTGAGGTACATCCGTTCTACGTGAAGAAAGCAACCTTGAGGCTTGATACTTGAATGGCACATCCTCATTTGTTATGCGGACTCCAACATAATCTTCGCTTTCGGAGATTTGTTGGTTAAGCCCTTGTGGTTTCCTGAAATCCCGGGGTCAGCTGGCCAAAGCCTGCCCCAGGTCTTCACCAGCACAGGGAGTCGCAGCCCTTATGGATCAGAGGGAGATTTACCACTATGCGGCTTTGATGTCAAGACTGGAGGATCCTGGCATTGGTTTGCTCTTAGCTAGGCCTCCTGATGGAAACGCCGGACTTCTTCTCAGCTTAGGAGATCCGCCCACTGGTTGGGATGAATCTCCAGATGTATATCGCAGTTCGACACCCATGAACACCTCCTAGCCGCGATGAGGCGGTAAACCGTTTTAATGGAAGTAACCATAGAATTAATAAAAGCAGCACAGAATTGTTCATATCTAAAATATTGGCAAGATACCAAATATTATCTCTAATCAATTGATGCATTACGTAGTAAAGCTCAATTTAATGTAATTGAGTCAAAACCTTGCTCACTTAGATAGGCAGTTTTCACCGACACTCCAAGCTTCTCGACCACCCTTCACCAAATGATGCATCAGCAAAAGGAATTTCTACTGGCACTTTGTAAATGGAGAAGAGAACTCGTGCACAATTTATCGCTAATAAAAACGAACGTTTCTGCATGACACTGTTTGTTACACAGGCTTGTGTAGTCAAATCATCGTCAGTCACGATCTCTAATCCTCTAGTCGAACTGCGCAAAGGTTCCACATCGGTAACACATCAAGCTTGTGAACGGAATGAAAATATTTCACGTACCTTTCAACGTGTTGACCCCTGGTCTTAACTACTCTTTAAACTTCGTCAATGTAACGCATTTAAAAATGGCAGATTTATGTTAGTACCGATCTCCTGAATCTCGACGTAGTCAACCAGTATCTTCCTTTGGTGCTTTAGCGAGATTGTTACAAATCCTAATTATGGCTAACGTTCCCGTTGTTCCGTACGTTGCTGCACAGCACTCGATTCGTTTTGATGCGACTGCTGCGACGAGCAGCAAGAAGAAACAACTTTTGTGAACACTCGACTGGAATAACAGTGCCTTTTTTCGATGCAAAATCATAGCTAATTATCTGTAATGAAGATTTATAAAAAAAACAGTGCAGGCATGCTGATGGTGAAATCGTGAGCATTGAGCCGTACAATCTCATTCTTCGTAACTTAATGCTACGGCCATTTAGATATTGCATATCTGAAGAAGGGAAATCGCCAAAACGTAAGCCGCCGAATCACGACGACAACAATAAACAACTGTTACCAACCTCAAGTCATTCCCACAAAGGCGTTCACAGATGCTTCTCTCTTGTATTGTCGTTGACCGTTAACTACATTTCCAAGTAACGCCTTCAAGAGTCATGCTGCACCTAATCCACCGTAGTTATCAAAGATTCAGGCAGGCCAGAGAGTCGAGAGTGGCCGTGAAGACTAAGCGGCCTCTTTTCCATAATTGGCTCCTTCGTTTTTCTAGAGTAAAGGAAATTTTCTGCTTCGTTACCCGTAGCTGCCTCTTCGCGCGTAGATGACGAGTTGTCAGGTGAATAAAAATGGTCACCCAACCAACACAGACCCAGGCTCTTGGCCGAATGGAAACCCAAGATACAATGTTTTCGTATGATAAGCTTAAATATCGCGTGTAATCAACAGTAAAATCTTCAAACCAGGATTATGAGGTGGAATCTGCCATGGTCATTCGAAACAATTTATAATTCACTATGCATGAGCTCAAAGAATAGCAAAATACGGGCCTCATTTACTTGACAATTGTGGCAATTACTTCTCAGGCCTATAGGAAATTGCACTGCTTGATTGTGGTTGAGGGATGAGCTGGTTGTCAAACTGTTCTGCGAGACCGCGAACCGAGTCTGAGCGAAGCATTTGGCATCTGATGAGAGCTAATAACGCTAGATAGGTGCTCACCTAGGTTTCTCAATGAAAGACGCCGTTGTAGTTTACTCGGAACTCAGTGCTCTAGTTTAGTACATCTGTCTCAAACCAAAGACCTATTATATTGCAAACGCGAGTTGTTATAGTTGCTAACAATTTCCGTAAGTCGTTGTTGGTGTTGATCATTAATCGCCGTACCTCACAGTCCGTCCTTTCGTGATAATCGTGCTTCCAGCTCCTGCTATGAATCAGGACATTATTCCAGTTGAATACCAGGTGTTCTACGTAGTTATTCCGACCATTAGCATTGTTGGAAACGCGCTTATCATTTACGTCACCATACGCTCAAAGTAAGTGCTATTTTACTAAGAAATTCGTTTGAAACGTCTTTGATTTAATTGTAATGTGTGAAATTCCTTTTCGATTTTTGCCTTTCTTATCTATCATAGTCTGCTGCCGAATTTTTCCTTCTATCTATGGCAACATTCAAGATC